TGGCAAAATCTGAACTGGATACTTACCCAGGGCCAGAGCTGGTACTGTGCCTTCCTTAGCCTTCTTCCTCCTAACCAGGAACGACCCTTAGCCTGCAGGCTGCCAGGAGGAGTGAGCAGCTTGCTGGGTGGAGTGAGCAGCCTTTAGGGCAGCTCAGCCGTATCCCTCCTGCCCGCTGCTCCGCTGGGAACATTTTATAGAGGCGGCTAGCGTGTGTGGCCCTTTAAAGGCGCTTGAGCTGGTGCAGTCACCGCGGATCGTGTGAAAGCGAAGGGCCGGCTGGGGAACGGAGTCCGATTGGCCCCCCGGGCACGGTTCCCGTGGTTGAGCTGGCAGACCTAGGCCCTGGGCACCCCGAGCCCTGAGCCCTCGGCCCACGCCTGCGCTTCTAAAGCTGGCGGGGGCCCGGCCCGGGACATGGTCTCTCCCTACCGCCCTGCATGGACTTGCCCAATAAATTAGGAGAGCTGTTAGTGTCTGTTTCTGACCTAAATCTAGCGGGTCGCCTGAGAGGGCTTCAAGAGGGGTTGTGGGGAGAGCTATGAACTCAGGGAGTGACCCCGAGCAGGGGGCGCACACGAAGCGGTGCCGGGGAGGGGGAGCACGACTTGGGTTTTCTGCAGGGCTTTCTCGGAGCCTGTCTGCCCCTTTGGGCTGCACATCTCCCTTGTTGAAGGGACGAAGCTGGGGTCCCTTTTCCCCTTAAAGTCGCCAGATTCCAGGCAGAGCCTCATTGAAGGCCTATCTGCCGGCAGCGGTGGCTTCTCTCGAAGGCCTGAGCCGGGGGTGGGCTTCCAGGTATTCTCTCCTGTGGTTATCCAGGGCTGACGGAGGCTCGTGGGATGCGACGCAGGAATATGCTGCCTTCCCGGACCTGGTGCAGCTCACGAAGCACGCCAAAGGCCAGGAACCGGTAGCAGGAAATGAAGAGCTTGCCCTTGGGCTCCCGGGGATTCCTCACGGGAAAACACGATGCCAGGTTATTTTATTATGATTATACAATCATTCCCATCAAGTAAGAATGCTATTTTGCATTCGGAGCACATCTTTCTCAGGCTGGGATGTTATCTTAAAAATTTTTATGGGAAAGAGGTCCAGCCTTCTCCTTCATCTCAGTTTGTGTTCCTTGTAGCCAAGAAGCCTCTCACCTCTTACAGGAAGGCCACCAGGATTACCCCCTACCACACTCCCCTTTTTGGCCCCTTTCAGCAACAACTACTTAGTTTACACTGTTTATAAAACATCCTCTTTTAAAAAGTCCAAAATAAAATGTTAAAAAGTGCAGGGGAAGGAATGTCACCAAGGCATATTCACTATGTATGTGTTCTGTCTTCGTAATTGGATTTGAAGACCTAAAGATCTTTTTCTTTTCTCCCCTCTTTTCCTTCTTTCATCCCCAAGTGCCTTGCATTTACCCTTTGAACAAAGTTCTGTTTGCTGACAGACTGATCGGCTTACTGACACAAAGATGGGCAGCAAACAGAGGGACAGGTCAAGGCCCTTTCTTGACACCTGGAGGAAGCTGGGGCAGTGTTCTGGACCCCAGGTAAACCCGTTACCCAGCCCCCAAAGCTGCTTTGTGCTCCTCCATTTGTTTGCCTCACCCAGCTCCACCACAAACCCCAGTAACAACCACACCATTGCTGTGCTTTCTCACTTTACCCAAAGATCGTGTGTTGTACCTAGTTTCCTTCTGATAAAAGGTGGGATCTGTTGGTACCATAAAACCCTATAGAGTTTGACTGTAAAATACACTTTCAAGCCATCTCTTTGTTTGCCTGAGGCGAGAGACATTAGGATTTCAAATTGTGCTTTACTAATTTGGACCGCTGACCTATCCCTCTCGACCTATCCCTCTCAGCCCCGCTGGGGAACAAATCTAGAAACCTCCGCAGCGGCTTCATTGCAGGCTCCGGATCCGTGAGGTGGCGAATCCACCTTCCATCTATTGGATGGCTCCCAGGCCAATTGTTAGAAAGAGGCATATGTTCAACTCGGTTTCTGGAGTGTCTCCGGAGCAGTTGCTCAACAGCTATCCCCTCCCCCATCCAGACCATTGAAGGGCAGAAAAAAGAGCGCCCTCCGCCCCATTTCTGTGCCCACAAGCCCGAAAGGGTCTTCCTACTGGTGACTTCCTGTCATCTCTACTGTCCACCTCCTGGAGAGCAGGAAAGAGGGCTTCAAACGCTCAGCTCTGGAGCACAAAAGCCACCCCTTTTTTGGGGGGCGTGATAGGAGTAGAGGTTAGTTGCAGAGGCTGGGAGAGAGCAAAGGAGACATTTGCATTTCTCTGCAAATAAGCCCCGTATCTCTGACTTCCCAGCCGGCTCCAGCTGAGCCCAGAGCTCTCCGCTGAACTCTTCTCTCCAACTTGGCAACTAGACTTCGAGCTCGAGTAGCAAGTAGAGGACGGCAATGGTCACCCAGCAAGAACCTTCTGTGCAACAGCATTGGGCCTGACATGTTCCCATCCATCATTTCATTTAATTCCCACCTGTAAGGCAGGTTTTACCAAGGTGAAACTGAGTTCCAGAGATATGCCCAAATTCACACAGTCTGGAGACAGGTATTTGAATCCGGGTCAAGCTGACTGCAAAGTCCTTACCCTCACCCTTGCACTTCCCTGCCTGGAAGGGTAAGGAAACATTTAGGCTGTATCCAGAGTACAGTTTCAGGGGTCAGTCCGCCTGGGTTTAAATCCCTACTTTGCTATTTACTAGCTGTGTGATCTTAGGCTACGTGGCTTCATTCTTAGGGCCTTAGCTTTCCCATCTTCTAAATGGGATTGTAGAGTTATTGAAAGGATTGACGGAAAAGCTTAGTCTGGTTGGTGTCCACTGTGTAGTAAGTGGTCAAAAAGTGCTGTTATTGTGCCTTCTGATTCTTTTTCTTTTGCCTCTTAGTCCTGCCTCGGCTCACACACTTCAGGTTCAATAATATTTGCTGACTGATTAATTAAAAAAACAGACTGAGAGGGCTATCTGAACCACATGGCAGGGACCAATATAAGATAATCACCTTTTCCCTGACAGCTGGAAACATCCAAAATAGTCTCCAGAAACATATACTCAATATGTGTGTAGAAAAGTTAAAAAGTAGAAGTCTTTGTTCAAGAATGTTTGGAGCAGAATTGTTTACAATGGTGAAAAATAGAAAGCAATCTAAATGTCCATGGAAGGAAGTATCCCTTGGGACCTTGACACTTAAAAACAACAACACAACACCAAAAAAAAAAACAACAATTGATTTCCAAAAACTCATTTATGGGAAAATGTTCACTACAAAATATTAAATAAAAAACAAAACACAAAAAACCTCTGGCCTTAGCGGGCGTAGCTCAGTTGGTTAGAGCATTGTCTCCATACCTCAAGGTTGCAGTTTCGATCCCTGGTCAGGGCACTTACAAGGGTTGACCAATGAATGCATAAATAAATGGAACAATAAATTGATGTTTCTCTCTCTGTCTCCCTTTCTCTCTCTAAAATCAATTAAAAATTAAATGGTACAAACTTAACATTAAAAAAAACACACCTCTGGGTACAAAGTTGCATAAATATGATGCCAAGTTGCAAAGGGCACGAAGAGTAGAATATTAAATAGTATGTTTCTAGCCATGTATGAATATGGATAATGAAGCGATGGTCAGGAAAACACCAAAGTAGCAAGAGCATCAGTGTGGTGGTAGGATTATGAGGGACTTTTTCTCTCTTCATGTCATACAACATTATTCTTATAACTAAATATAAGTTTATAGTTAATGAAGTGCATAAACAGTATGCTTCCACTTTTGTTAAAATTGTATGTGCACAGAAGAAATATTGGAAGTAAATACACCAAAATGATAACAGTGATTATAACTGAGTAGTGGGATTATAGTACTATTTTTATTTTCTTTGTTTTTCTGCAATATGCTTACATTATTTTCTTACAATTAAAACAGATTTATAATTTGGAAAGTGGATGATCAGTATGATCCCACTTGTGTTAAAAGTATGTATGCAAATTGAAAAAAGTGAGGAGATCTATGAAAATAATGTTTTTAT